TCTTTCTTTCTTTCTCCTGCCAGAAATATTCTTTATTAGTCCTTCCTGCCCAGATGTTTGAAGAGTTGCCGTGGGTCTTCATCTGCTTATTTCGTGAAATTTGCATGCCGCTCGATTGTCGGAACCTCCGAGTGGTTTAGAAGAAGGTAAAGAACCCAGAAGAATCGGATTAAACCCGCTGTTAAAACATGCAGAAGCTAAAATACCGAAACACATTAAAAGCGCCACGATTTTCCCGCACGTGGTGGTCTGGTAAGAAAGTGAGGGTATTTGGGGGGCAATGAAATAGGATGAGATAAAGGGGGGGAAGATGTTTAAAGTGATTACACACACACAAAAAGAACCCTGAAGGTTTTCTACAAGGGACAGAAGTTCCAAAAAAAAAAAGATGTTCTTATGTAACTGAAGCAGCCAGGATTCATTACACCCAGAAATGGAAAATGAAGGTTGGGGGGGAGGGCACTGATGTAGACTAGGATGTCCCTATTTTTATCAGAGGAATGTTGGCAGGTCTGTGTTTGTCACCTGCTCCTCATGAGGGGCTGCCACGTAGCCACTGCTTCACTTCATAAGAACATCCGAAGATCTGTCTGGTTGCAGGATCAGGCCCAAAGTGGGGAGCTCACAAGCAGGGCATGAGCAGGAGAACCCCCACTTTCCTCGTGTCTCAAACCCCTAGCTCGTGGAACTGTTGAGTTGGAGGGGACCCGAGGGTCATCTAGTCCAACCCATGCAATTAAACCATACATGACAGGTGTTTGCCCTTGCGGGGTGACAAAACTCTTCCTTTGCTGGAAGAAAAGCAACTTTCTGATCAGAGAGCCCTTTCTTTTGTGAGTTTCCTCTTATAAGTCTCAGTTTCCATTTCCCCCGGAACGTATTTGCATTTCTCAAGCACCCTTCTGCAGTCCTTGCACAGAAGCTGCTACGTCCCAGCTATGGCCAGGCTGACTCTAGGGGGAAAGACCACCCTTCCTTGGAGGAAATGGTCCTGGGGGAAGGCAGAACGAAGGAAGCCAGTGTCCGCTTCTCCGAATCCTGCTTCTGTTAGGTTGGGAAGGAGTGTGTCTCTTCTCTGAGCCACCAGGTCCCAATTCCAGATTATTTCCTACTTTTCAGACTGCGGAGAGAGCCAAGCAGGGCCTGGGGGTTCCTCTGCCTGATATTACTAGAAGCCTTTTTCGGGCCGTTCAAAGAACTATTATAATATGACAAATTTGAAAGCAGGATTTGAACAACAGAAAGAATCAGAGATTATTGTGTTATGATTTGGATAGAAGAGTGAAGACAGGGGGCAGCAATGGGGAGGGAGGGAAAGCATCACAGAAAATGGAAGGGGAAGTTGATAATATGTTATTATTAGTACATTGGTACCTTGGGTTACGGGACGCGGGTGGCGCTGTGGGTTAAAACACAGAGCCTAGGACTTGCTGATCAGAAAGTCGGTGGTTCAAATCCCCGCGACGGGGTGAGCTCCTGTTGCTCGGTCCCTGCTCCTGCCAACCTAGCAGTTCAAAAGCACCTCAAAGTGCAAGTAGATAAATAGGTACCGTTCCGGCGGCAAGGTAAATGGCGTTTCCGTGCGCTGCTCTGGTTCGCCAGAAGCAGCTTAGTCATGCTGGCCACAGGACCTGGAAGCTGTACGCCGGCTCCCTCGGCCAATAAAGCGAGATGAGTGCCGCAACCCCAGAGTCGGGGTTACAACTTGTGTTACAAACGCTTCAGGTTACAGACTCTGCTAACCCAGAAATAGTACCTCGGTTAAGAACTTTGCTTCAGGATGAGAACAGAAATCATGCGGCGATTGACCACAGCGCAGCAGGAGGCCCTATTAGCTAAAGTGGTGCTTCAGGTTAAGAACAGTTTCAGGTTAAGAACGGACCTCCAGAACGAATTAAGTTCTTAACCCGAGGTACCACTGTGTTGAAGAAAAAAATGGTTATGTAACTGTATTTGGAATTTGTGGGAGTTTCATGAAATATATTCCAAAAAATAAAAATGAAAAATAAAACCACTTTTGACTTTTAACTTGCGGTGATGGACTCTCCTTCCTTGGAGGTTTTTAAGCAGAGGTTGGCTGGCCCTCTGTCAAGGAGTCTTTAGCTGAGATTCCTGCAATGCAGCCGGGGGTTGGACTGGATGACCCTCCGGGTCCCTTCTGACTCTTACGATTCTACGATTCTAAGCATCTGAGTTGGCTTTGTTATAGCAGGGGCCGGAAAAAGTACAGCGAAGGTGGCGCCTGCTTGGTGTCAAGTGGCAGGGAGTTCCACAGTCCCCTGTAACAGGGCCAATTCCACCTACTGAAGCGGTCAAATGGGCTCCGATAGGTCTTCAAATAAAAACATCTTGAAGGTCCCAGGCCACAGAGAAGTTAGGCTGGCCTCAACTAGAGCCAGGGCTATTTCGGCTGTGGCTCCGATCTGGTGGAACACTCTGTCACAAGAGACCAGGGCCCTGCGGGACTTGACATCTTTCCGCAGGGCCTGCAAGACAGAGCTGTTCCGCCTGGCCTTTGGCAAGGGCACAGCCTGACTCCCTCCCTCGGCAATCTTCGTGGAGCTCTGGCCCAATGGTTCCCAGTGGCTTGAATTAATTAATTTTATAATGAATGATTTTAGAGTGTTGTTTATGCTGTACTTTTGTACTGTTTTATTGTTGTTAGCCGCCCTGAGCCCGGCTTCAGCTGGGGAGGGCGGGATATAAATAAAATTTGTTTTTATTATTATTATTATTATTATTAGGCGACCGCATAGGCAAACGTGCATCAATGGCTGTTCCAGAAGAAGACTGCTGGCTGGGTGGCAGTTTCCTGGAAAAGCCCCCCTTTCCTAAAGGTTAGGTTCTGTAGCCTTCTTAGACTTTACCGACTGGTGGTGTCTGCGTTGCTCCCGGGAGGGAGAAAGGAAGTCAAATGTCACCGAGGTTGATTCAGAGAGTTTATTCTGCTCTCTGGATAGCAGAAGGCACTTGCGTGGTCAGTTCACAGCAAGTCCAAAGAAATGAGAAATTTCATGCAGTATATATATCCTCCAGGCACCCTCTCCCCCCTTCCCCAGGAATCGAACCACGTCAGCTTATACACGTAAGTTGACATCCATGACCATAAACAGATATTCCTGTTCCGGTACTCTTGACCATAAAAGGTTGTTCCTGTTCCTATACTCTTATCTTGGGGCAGGAGTTGAACATTCTTAGAGTTGAACATTCCTGGCACCGTTTCTGGGTCTCTTGTCAGACTTGACAAGGTCTGTGTGTCTTTTTGTGGTCAGGATGTAAGATAAGACCCAGACGTGCCATCCCTGCTCCACGGAACTGGCAAGGCCATCCATTGCAGTCACAGACTGATAAAGGAGAGGGCTTTGAGCACTTGGTTTATACAACTGGCTTTCTGTTTATACATTGACTCAAGAGCTCAAGTTAATGCATTTTAGAAATGCTCCCTTGGAGGAGGAAAAATGTGGATTTTGGATCCCGTTTCAGACTGACTGCACAGAAACCCATTCCTTCAGTTCCAAGCTGCTCTCCCTCCTGCAGTTTCCTGGTCTACAAACCCAGGTGGGATGAGAGGAACCACGAGGAACAGGGGGTCCTCAACTTGGAATTTAAAATCTGGCCAGCGGGGTCGGGAAGCCTCCCCCCCCAGCTCCCCCCTGCCCAAATTCATCCTCCTGCCTGATCCCTTCTGGAGACTCCAGCATCCCTTCGCCTGCTCTCCTGTCAAAGGCACAGGAGCCCTGTCAGGATATTACTTTGCAGTCTCCCTCCCTCACACTTTCAAGGCACCTCTGGGAGCTTATTTCATCCTTGAAAAAGGAATGCAAAACAGCACCCTCCCCTCTTGAGATTGTGGCATGTGATCCAGGAGAGGCAGTCAAGTACAACATTCTTTGAAATGCTAGAGAAGACATGTGAGGGGATGTTTGGTCCAGCCAGTCGAAACTTCCTGCTCCTCCTGGCTGGAGCATCCTTCCTTTTGTGTCTGACAGAAGGTGGGCGTGACCTCACCTGTCCAGATAACAAAAGGATGACTCACGCAGGCACACCTCCCTCTTTTTGGCTTCCTTCTTCGTTTGACCAGCTTCTAGCTAGGACTGCTCTGCTAGCTCTCATCTAGCAGAAGCACTGGGATTATTCCCCCATATGGGGTAGATCCACATGTACATATTTGTAACCAAATCTGCCTTCAGGAATCCAACTGTGAACCAATGTGAGTAAACTTCTCTTATTGACTTTGAATAAGATTGTGGCGTCTTTATTCTTTTAAGAGGGATTCAAGGGAATTTACCAGGAATGTACAATCTTAGACAGACTGAATTGTATAATAGTGAGAGGCTCACACGAGCCTGCAACCAGCTATCTGCTGTGCATGTAAAAAGGGGGGATGTAAACTCTGCTAAGTAAAGGAACTTGCTAGTGCAAGTTAGGAAGGATATTAATAAATAATATTTCGTCTGCTGCCACCCTGAATGTTCCCAAAATCATCTGGCACCGCACGGCTCCGCTGAAGGTTTCCTGGTTCTCTTGAACAAGCCTTGCTGAAATCTGCAGGTGCAGAGCAAGACGATGGCAGGCTTGAGACTGGCGCTGGGAAACTTCCCAAAGAGTGGCTCTCTTCCCAAGTTCTCGTTTGTGTTTGTTCTGCAGCTAAGACATGGAAAAGTCTCAGCCACACACCACCTGTGGCATTTCGACCCCTGAAGTGTGTCTTATGAATGCCCAGCTCACTTCTGCAATAAGTTGGAAGGGACCCAAAGGCTAATCTGTTTCAACCCCCGGCAATTCCTACTTGGCTTTAAACTATTTGCAATATTGTGCAATGCCATCTTTCGATATATTAATAACCTGAATGGTTGCAACCCGCCCTGGGGCCTTAGGGCGATGGGCAAGCAATATGTGGTTACCATAATCTTAATACTGTTACGTGGCACCCAAATCTCTCAGCGGAGCGATATCCCAGGGCTCAGTTTCCATAGAACAGGCAACAGTGGAGACCGTGGTGTTTTTAGGGTATATGCTTTATTTGCACAACATACATACAACCTGAGCCCAAGATGGAGGGGCTCGTAGACTTAACACCCCAAAAGGTCTTGCTTCTTCCATACTGACAGCCTTGGAATCAAGCGAAAAACAAACTGATCATTGCACTGAACTCCAGCAATGAAATCCTCCGTTAGATTTTAAGCCTTGCCAGATCCAGGACTTTCTGCCTGCAACTAAAAATAATAATAGTAATAGTAATAAAAGCAATGCAACTTCTAGAAACAATTACACAGATAAACACAACTGGAAGCTTTTTTTCTCTTCTTTAGTGCGGGGAGGGGACTGCAACGAAACTTCATGGAAATCAGCTTTTCCCCAGCAAAACCTGCTGGAGGGTCCAGGGGCTGAGAGGCTGCAGGAAGAGCCTCTTCCCAAACTGGAAGGAAAGAGCCACCACCCCCTGCCTCTTTGCGAGTGTGTGAGTGTGGAGGTCCTTCACTGCTGGGCCCTGCCGTTCCCTCGCCACGAACCCCTTCGCCACGATCCGTCCTGTTGACTTGTAACCTGAAGCCTTGTTTCTTTAAGGAAGCTGTAGACAGCGCTCGCTTGGTCCATTTCTCCGTCTTCCCTGAACATCCTCGCCAGGCCTCTTCAGGCAATTTCCAGCTGCTTCCTCTCAAGGGAGTGGTCTCCGGGGATCCTGGCGGCCGCCTGGTACATCTCTAGGGCCTTGCTCTTCATCCCCTTCTTGTGGAGGAGGAAGTCCCCCCAGTGCATGTAGATGGACTGCTGGCATCTCTTGCTGGCTCCTGGGAGCTCCTCCATCAGGTTCAGGTAGATCTCTTCCTCGTAAGCTGGCGACCTCTTGCCGTAAGCTTTTGCCAGCTTCAGCCGGGTGAAGATGGAGAAAGGATCCATCTCCAGAGCGCGCTTGAAGCTCTCAATGGCAGCCTCGACAGCTTCTTCTCTTAAGTCACCTGGAGAGTGCTCCAACATCTGCAGGTAGCACATGCCAAGGTCGTAGTGTAGGAGATGGTAGCCGGGATCTAGGGCGATGGCCTTCTTCAGAATGGAAATGGCCTTCTTCAGAATAGAAATGGTACGGGGAAGGGATTGCTGCTTGTACAGCTTGGAGACGATTCGGAGGACTTCAGGGTTCACGCTCTCCTGGGCAACATCGTCCGCAAGGAAGAGCGCTCTTTCCGTGTCCACCGCCATAAGGGTCTGAGCCAAATAAGCTTTGGCTTCGTAGCTCTGCGGCTGGCGAGCGACGACTTCTTCCAGCAACTTCTGGGCTTCTTCCCGCTGTTCGGTGGCCCAGGAATGAGTGTAGGAGGCATAAACGGAGATGGCCAGTCCGGCCTGGAACTCCTCGTTGGGCTCTTCCGCCTCCAGCGCCTTCCGGAAACATTCTGCGGCCTGGTCCCCGTTCCGGAAGCCCCCGGCCAGGAGGGACCAGCCTTTCTGAGCGTGGACTTCAGGGATCATCGCAGAGTAGGCCTCTGGGCTGGCCAAGGACCGGCAGATGTCATGGATGCGTCCCAGGTAGAGGTCCACCATGTCGTAATTGACCAAGCGGTAGTAGACCCAGGTGTAGTTGCCGTAGGTCACCAGGGCCTGGCGGGAGAAGTTGGCGGGGTGGTCCCGCCTCAGAGCCCCCTCTGCTTCTCGAAGGCTGTCCAGGGCCTCCTCGTAGTTCCCCTGGAAGTCCTGGAGGTAGGCCCTCATGGCAAGGTAGGCGCCTCGGTTGCGGTGTGGGGTGTGCTGGGCCAGCGGGGCAAGGGTCTGCAGGATGTGCAAGGCATCCACCTTGTCCTTGAACTCGAAGTCCCAGGTGAAGTGGCACTGCAAGCTCTCCAGCTTCGATCTCAGAGGTCGGCTGCAGAGGGAAGAGGCAGGGAGGGAGGGAAAGAGATCGAGAAAGGGTGAGGGACACTCTTGAGAGGATATACAGTGGTACCTCAGCTCCCAAACGCCTTGGGAGTTGAATGTTTTGGCTCCTAGAATCATAGAATCATAGAGTTGGAAGAGACCACAAGGGCCATCGAGTCCAACCCCCTGCCAAGCAGGAAACACCATCAGAGCACTCCTGACATATGGTTGTCAAGCCTCTGCTTAAAGACCTCCAAAGAAGGAGACTCCACCACACTCCTTGGCAGCAAATTCCACTGAACGATCGAAAACGGGAAGTGAGTGTTCTGGTTTTCCAACGTTCCTCTTGCAGCCGATCGGAAGCTACACTTTGATAGTCGAATGTTTTGGATGTCAAAAAGACTTCTGGAACAGATTCTGTTCCAAGGTACGACTATACAGAATTGGGGGGAAATGTTTAAAAGTACCTTTTAAAAAAAACACCAGAGTCCTTTTTGTTGAGGATAATTCAGAGGGAAATTCCTAGGAGCAAAGTCCCAACCAAAGGAGAATGGCAACTTAAATAAAGTTACCAGATTTTTTTCAATGAATCTGGAGACACTTTTCAATTTCCTACTAAATAGATGGATTGTGTCATGGGACTGATTTGTAAATCCAGGGACGTCTGCTAACCTTAAACTTAAATTTATGGAATACACACAGCTTGCAGATTTGACATGCAAAATAACAGAACAGGAAGAGTATACCTTTAGAGAAGGCTGGGAAATATTTACTGATTATGTGGGTGAAAATTGTGTACAGCTGAAAACGGTGGCAGCCTTATGATAAATTCAACAGTGCAAATAAGTTTTGATGGTGTAACAATGGAATACGGAATGGTTTAGGTCATTTACAATATGCAGGGATGTATGGTAGGCAAAATGAACCATGGAAAGAGAGGAAGGGAAGTCAATGATCTGAGGTTGTTTAAATGAATATCCTGAAATGTAAATTAGAAAAATCTAATAAAACTATAAATAAATAAAAAGAGAGAAAGGGTGAAGGGGTGCTGCGGGCAGGAGTTCTTTGCCCAAAAGGGCCGAGAAGATTTAGGATTTAGACTTAGGCGTCACTGGAATGTGGCCTCTTGCCAAAAAAGGAAGGGTCACACCTGTTGCCCCGCCCACTTTTACCTATAGGCCACACCCACTTTGCATCGAGGCCCCACCCACTTTTATCCCTAGGCCCCGCCCACCTGAGCAGGTCTTCCCCCTACTGCCTAGATTTGGCCAAAGAGTGTCAGAGTAAAAGCTTCGTCGGTAGAGCAGGAGACTCTGGATCTCCGGGTTGTGGGTTTGAGCCCCACCTGGGGTAAAAGATCCCTGCACTTCAGGGGGTTGGACTAGATGACCCACGAGGTCCCTTCCAACTCTACAGTTCCACGATCCTATCTCCAGCCCTACCTGCAGATGCCATCAGGGGACCACAGGATTTGAGAGTTGCAAGGGACCCCAAGGGTCAACTAGTCCAGCCCCAAGATCTTCTGCATGCAAAGCCCAGGAATCTGAGGAAAACAAAAGTCCTTTGGAGGTTTTTAAGCAGAGGTTGGATGGCCACCTGCCAGGGATTCTTTAGCTGAGATTCCTGCCTTGCAGGGGGTTGGACTAGATGACTCTGGAGGTCCCTTCCAACTCCATGATCTCCAGTGCCAGAGGCAGCCTGCCTCTGAGACTGTGCGCACACCATCCTTCAAAGCACATTGAAAGTGCGCACGCACTGCCAGAACCCTGGGAACTGAAGGATGCTTGGAAATGCCCCTCTGATGTGTAAACTGCAGTTAACAGGATTCTTTCTGGGTGTGGGGGGGGGGGTGCTTCAGGGAAACATCCCTGGGGGTTCTTTTCCTCAGTACAGTGGTACCTCGGGTTAAGTACTTAATTCGTTCCGGAGGTCCGTTCTTAACCTGAAACTGTTCTTAACCTGAAGCACCACTTTAGCTAATGGGGCCTCCTGCTGCTGCTGCACCGCCGGAGCACAATTTCTGTTCTCATCCTGGAGCAAAGTTCTTAACCCGAGGTAATATTTCTGGGTTAGTGGAGTCTGTAGCCTGAAGGGTATGTAACCCGAGGTACCACTGTACTGTGAATGTGGTACACCACGAGGTGCGCAGCTTCGCTCAGTTGCAGATGCCGACGCCTCGGGCAGGTTTGTTGCCCTGGGCTGGGGGGGGGGCGGCGCCTGGCGGATCTTTCCACCCCAGCTGCATATGCTTAAGACAGCCCCGGTCATCTAGCCCAGCCCTGAAATCTTCTACACGCGAAGCAGGTGCTCTAACCACTGAGCCACAGCTGCCGCTCTCCTGATGTCGCGGGACTCCCGTTGCCCTTGCCCTTGGCCATGCTGGCTGCCGAAGCTGGGGTCCAGCAACACCCAACTTGCATTGCAGGGGGCCAGGCTATTCGGGGTGGGGGTTTCCCTCCCATCTCTCCCCTTCTGGGATTCTAACTCCTGCAGCACAAAATGCAGAACGGGAGGTCTTTAAGCCGGAGGAGTCAGATCTACGCAGGAGGAGTCCCTGCTTACCTCATTTTCCCTTTTCCAGAGAGGAGGCTGAATTTCGCAGGAAGCGAACTTTCCCTCGCCAGCGGTCCAGCAGTCTGCAGGATGCTACCTCCGTCTGCAAACTTTTGCCTCGCTCTCTCAGTTTATATAGCATCGCAGTGAGCTCACTCGGGCAGAATAGAAACCGAAACTCAAAAGAGAGATCCGTTTCTTGCTTGTGGAGAAGAATGTTCCTTGGCTGGTTGCAAAGCCTCCAAGCGGAACATTTTATTTTTATTTCCCCCCCCCCAAGCGCAACATTTTTGCCCCCCACTCGCGGAAATGAGTAAATCAGGGTTTAAACGTGGGCTATACGGCAAAACTGAATCTTGGCTCTCCCCTGCAGACGATGCAAGGCTCAACCCGGCTGATTTTGCTCTCCATCCTTGCCTGCTCGCGCCCCCGTCCGCTCCCCGATTCCCCCGCGCCCCCCGCTCTCCTCCCCATCCCGATCCCATGTCCACAAGGTCGGGAGGGATCCTCAATCCACCCTTGCAAGGTCTCCCCAGCTCGGCAGTGCAGCATCTGAGCCAAACAGCTGCCTCCGAACCTCTGCGAGGCTTTGCAGAATTAGCTGTTGTTGTTTAGTCGTTTAGTCGTGTCCGACTCTTCGTGACCCGCTGGACCAGAGCACGCCAGGCCCTCCTGTCTTCCACTGCCTCCCTCATGCTGGTAGCTTAGACAAAACTGCCCCACCATCTCGTCCTCTGTCGTCCCCTTCTCCTTGTGCCCTCCATCTTTCCCAACATCAGGGTCTTTTCCAGGGAGTCTTCTCTTCTCCTGAGGTGGCCAAAGTCTTGGAGCCTCAGCTTCAGGATCTCTCAAGAGTCTCCTCCAGCACCAGAATTCAAAAGCATCCATTCTTCGGCGATCAGCCTTCTTTATGGTCCAGCTCTCACTTCCATACATCACTACTGGGAAAACCATAGCTTGAACTATACGGACCTTTCTTGGCAAGGTGATGTCTCTGCTTTTTAAGATGCTGTCTAGGTTTGTCATTGCTTTTCTCCCAAGAAGCAGGCGTCTTTTAATTTCGTGGCTGCTGTCACCATCTGCAGTGATCATGGAGCCCAAGAAAGTGAAATCTCTCACTGCCTCCATTTCTTCCCCTTCTATTTGCCAGGAGGTGATGGGACCAGTGGCCAGGATCTTCGTTTTTTTGATGTTGAGTTTCAGACCATATTTTGCGCTCTCCTCTTTCACCCTCATTAAAAGGTTATTTAATTCCTCCTCACTTTCTGCCATCAAGGTTGTGTCATCTGCATATCTGAGGTTGTTGATATTTCTAGTTTCTCTTTTTCTCCTGATTCCAGGCATGTCTACTTGGAAGTAAGCCCCAGGCTGGCCACGGAGGAGAAACCTGCAAAGGGGGCGAAGGGGAGAGGCTCCAAGGGCGAGGGGCATGGCTGCTGGAACAGAGCACCCAGACAACCCACCTTGGGGCTGAAAACCAGGCAGGTGTTGGTCCAAGTCGGCAAAAGGCCTCCTTGATTCTCCATTTGCAGTGCAGCACCTTCAAAGCTGCCTGGGCTGGAGGATGGAGATTTGTGGCGTTGCGAAGAAGCGTGCTAAGCTTTTAAATGAACCCCCTTTGAGGTTGCAAATAAAGGTTTGTGGGGCTGTGGTCTAAAGTTAATCACCGAGCCTCTTAGACTTGCCAATTGGAAGGTTGGCGGTTCGAATCCCTGCGACGGGGTGTGCTCCTGTTGCTCGGTCCTTGCTCCTGCCAACCTAGCAGTTCGAAAGCACGCCAGTGCAAGTAGATAAATAGGTACCACTGTGGCGGGAAGGTAAATGGCATTTCTATGCGCTCTGGTTTCCGTCACGGTGTTCCTTTGCGCCAGAAGCAGTTTAGTCATGCTGGCCACACGACTTGGAAAGCTGTCTGTTCTAAGAATTCTAAGATCTCAAATATAAATTAAACATTCATAAATGTGCAAGGCAAACACATATATAAGTATATGAACCACTGTAGCACCCTGCTTGTGGTTAACGCTTAGCTGGAATGAAATATTCAACGCAGCAACAGAGAAATTAAATAATAATTTATTTGTCAGACAAATAAATGAGAGGCACAGTGGTATATGATTACCAAGCTCTGGCCTGCCTCCTGCCATTATGGCCAGCACTTATATTCCCTTAATCCAGCCCCCTTTGCTCCTCCTTGGGCTGCCTCTGTCCCATCAGCCTGGTTGAAATTCCTATTGGCTGATTAGTATAACCAATCACAAAAATACACTCATATCCTCCTGTCCTTATAAGGGAGACAAAGAGCTATATATAAATGACAAATAAGTAATAATATATCTTACATGGAATCTTAATTACCAGCTCACCTCTTGCCCTATTGCCTTCTAAAACAAATGGTTAATCTTAAATTTTTATCTTAAACATATGTCAAGGATCTTGAGTTTCACATCAATATTGAAAGATCTCCTTCATTTGAAGGTTTCTAAACAAATATCTGACAACTTATATATCAGAAATTGCTCGGATGGCGTCTTCTTGTCTGGCAGGGGGCTGGACTCATCTGCCCCCCTGGTCTCCTACAGCAATATGACTCTATGAAATAAGAATTTAACATTTCTTTCTTTCTAGATCCTTTGCATAATTACATTTAAGCCAGGATATTTCATACACTATCATAGATAGCTTTTTAGAAGGATAAACTTCCTAAAAGTAACAAGGAAGGAACAGTTTACAGCCTCAAAATAAAATAGGAAAAAAAACCTCTTCCCCTCTTCACACTTCCCCCCCTTCTCCAGCCGGTTTGTTTTCCGTGTGCCCTTGACCTTTTGTCCTGTGGCTCAAGTTTAAGAGAGGCCCATGGTTTTATTTTACTGTTTACCTACCACTTTTTACAACTTAGTTGTACTCCACAGCATGCAAGGTCAGTGACCTGCTTCTCAGCCTTTCTATGACCGCAATAAACCAGGGGGCCCCTTTGCTTGCCAGCTGCTTGCTGGTTTTCTACCTTGGAAGAAACATTATTTTTAGAATTTTAGGAACCTGATCAAAATATAAGCCAATATATGCCTTGATTAAAAATGCAGTCTATATTCAGATGCCACAATCCCCCCTTTCAAGCTCAAGGACCTGGCTACCAAGCGTCCTTGATAGCTTGATCTACATCATATTCCTGAGGTAAGGCTCTATATAGTGCCATGATATGAGGTAAAGTTTCATTTGAAATCATCTTGCTAATTGTATTCCTAAAACATGAGATGATACATGGCATCATACATAAAACCATTACTACTACCGTCAAGAAAAACAAGCAAGACAATAGTATCCCTTTGAGTCCTGTGACATTGGGTAACCATCCCATATCCCATCCTTCCCATGTTTGTACTGGGACATATGCTATATTCTCCATCTTTGTGGCCAACACACGGATTGCCTCACCATTATCAGAAATGTTAAAGCAACAGGCATTCCCTGTCAAGTTCAAGACTCCACATAGGCCTCCCTGCCTGGCAAGTCATCCAACTGTCGTGCAATAAGTCTCAAACTCTGGGCCGTTGCATTGGTTACAAGTTCCACTACTGCTTGTAATCGAATTATTCTGTTTAGATTATAAATAGGATCCCGTGCCCCTTGTATGAGCTCACCAGGATTCCAGGAGGCAGGATCATAATAGGCTATTATGCGCTCTGGCGGCCAATCATCAGTACCGCTCCAACTTTGGGTACTTCCTCCTGCTATACGAGAAATATCAGCATTTCTTCGTGTTCGCTTGGCTGAACTAGTGGGCAAATCCACATTGGTGGCAATACCCATCCCAGGAAACAAGTCCCACTCCATTTGGAAGGGAGTTTCTTGTATGCCCATTCTCCACATATCCACCACAACCATCGGGTCTGAGGTTTTTGGTATGTGGAGTACATAAGGCGAAATATCAAAAGAGGTAGAGAGTTCACAGTGCAGTATGTTATTGCCTTTTTCTGTCACAGTTATGTTCCACACCACTTTCCATGCATGAATAAAAGGAGGTGCACAGGGCAAGGTATTCCGAGTTCGATAGGTAGTACCGTGTGCCCAGGTATTCTTAATATGATCCCAAGTATAGTGGCAATGAGAAGAGCCTACCATGGGAGAATCAGCTGCATCTGACGATTTATGTACACAGAATTCCCCTTGTACAGGTATAACTCGTAATGGTTTAGTTGAGTTCCATCCGGGGAAATTCTGTACTTCTATTTGGTGTAGCATTTCGCTTACCATACCAATGGCATTTAATGGTATTGGTAATAAGGGCATACCTCCCTCTGAATCATCTGGCCCAAGAGAGCAAACAAGGTAATTGGTCCTATTTGCACATTGGCTACCTTTTCGGCTAAACCTACCCACATATTGTGGTCATAGTGGAATCCATATTTAGCAAATTTGGTCAGATTCAAGGACCCTTCCCCTTTCCCAAGGGATCAGGATTAATAAAATCATGTTGATGTCTAGCATATGCATTCCTTCCACAAAAGATTACCTTATTGTGATAGCATAAAACTATTAGCCCCAATATAATTCCCCCAGTGACAGAAATGGGGAGCCACCAAGACCAAAACATATATCCCAAGAATCCCCAATGTGTAATATCTCTGATAATTGTTCCACAAGGGGGCAGTCAATCAATTGTATAAGAGAATCTTCCCGCTCACAGTCTCTGGTTCAGACGCTCCTCAAGCTTCAGGCGTGCGCAGGTCAGCCAGCTTCCAGGTTTGTGGCTGCAGCAGGCCGGTCGTCTAATGTTGCCCGTGACCTAGCCGTTCCCGGTAGGGCTAGATACAGGGGTTTTTGGAGAGAGTCAGTTTTAAAGGATTAGAGGGGTCACCTTTGCACGTCCAACTGCCTTCGGACTTCTTCAAACGGGAGTGATGAATCCAGGGGGTCACCTCAGCTACCTTCACCGCTGTTAGAGTAGAGAGCAAGACGGTGTAAGGTCCACGCCACTTAGGTGCAAGTGGATCACGTTTCCACTCTTTCACCCATATGCTATGCCAGCCTGGAGCTGATGAATCGGCAGGCAATGCTGCACGGCGTGCGCTCGAGGGCCCACCTGTTAAGATAAAAACAACAACAACAAACAAACACGGGAGAGAGACAAAAACACGGGAGAGAGATTGCACTTGTCCCTGTGTTGCATGG